CATTCATTCATTCATGGTGTGTTTCTTTACTTCGTTACTTCCCGCAGGTTTGTTCCAAGCCGCGGGTGGCTGGAAGAGAGGCCCCCCAGGGGGCCTTTCGTTCGAAACTGTTGCTTCCGAACCAGCAGAAAAGACACAAGCGACCCCAAAAAAAAAGACACAAGTGAACCCCAAAAAAAAGACACAGGTGACCCCCCTTCCGCTCACAACCACTCTCTTTAATCGGATTACTGGAAAAACACCGCATCCTGCTGTCTTCCATTCCTAAAGTATTCCAAGGCATCATGGAAGGCTGGCGAATTAGCTAAACATCCTCCATAACGTCGCTATACCGTATAGCTGTATAACTGTATAACTACAATGATGTAGTCATAACAGAACTTACACGAAACTTCTGGAGCGCGGCCCTTGCGCCGGCCGCTACACTCCGCAGGTGGCGCGCATAGGTCAAGGCCTCTTTGGGAAGAAGCTCGGGTTCTCAGCGCGAGCAAAGGAGTGGATCCTGAAGTCTTAAGTGTGACAATTATGCAAGGGTTACCCTTGAAACCGAAAGCTGAAAGCCCGCAACACGAAACCCGATCGTGGAAGGCCGGTTTCTGCTTAGGTGAAGTGCTCTCTGGCGTGGGAAGCCTTAGGTCTCGACCTCGTACCTAGCAACCTAGTTATCTTCCCTCGCGCATGGCTAGGGATCAATTGGTTAGTTTGGGAGGTCGGGTCCGGCATGGCATGAGCAACCTAGCGTGGATTCGACACATCGCGGGGCATCGCCTGCCAGCATCCCTCGCCGCGCAGGCCGCAGCGCGGGAGCTTCGACTCCTCGGCTACGCGTCACTACGCAAAAGGTACCCACGACTCACGTCCGCTCGTCGGTGGGTCTGGCGAATCTGTGGTGTTCGTCCGGTCTCGGCGGGTCCTGGCAACTTCGGGGAGCGAACTTGGGCTGACACATCTTTGCATCACGATCCCAAACATAATTCGGGAAACTAGGTTTCCGGAGACCCTGCCAGCCCAACCGATGCGACCAAAACACCTCGCCGCCAACCCATCTGACCAACCCAACCCAACACGCCCTCACGACCCAACCAAAGGACCCAACCACTGAGCCCCCTTCTGCAGCTACAAGAAGCACCAAGATTCCAACGCCTCTGTGATCGTGCTCACCAACGCGCTCCGATCAAGTCCGCAACAGCACGGGTTTCTTGGACCAGCTACCAGCCATTAGCTAGCACGCTCCATGATCTCAGGACCTCAGCTGGGCTTAAAAAGCCAAGCGGCGAGGTCCCAGGACTGCAGCTGCCAGGCCGTCAGCGTCACCAGAGACTTCGCCTGCAACCGGCCGGCAGCGCGGAGCAAGGGAGTATGCAGTGCAGAGCTCTCTCCCCCTCAGGCCGCACCTCTTGCGCATAGACCGTGCTCAATACCTCGGCGTCGAAAGCTCTGAGCTTCGGCGGGAAAGCAGCAGATGCCGGACAGAGTAGTAGAGTAGGTTCGGCACCGGGCCCTCGCAGTTCAGCTGCCAGAGTGGCTCGGCAGGCATCCCATGGCAGAACCACTCTGAGATTTTCAGAAATCCCTTTGAAACTCCCAGACTTCCAGCCCTCCGCCCTTGGACTGAGTGAAGCAAGGTGGCCAGCTCTTTCAATCCTGGTGGGTTTTCGAGGAAGTCATGCTTGGCCATCGATCACTGCTACCCGTGTCTATGTGCACTCTGAACAGCTTGTCTTGAACAATCCTCCATGCGCTGTACAGCTCGGGCCAGGACCAAAAAACATCGAGAATCCTAGTGCAGGCATGTGTTGGAGGAAGGTGTAACTAAATACGCTGATAAAGCCATTCTAACATGCTGTGAGCGCAAGATCAGCAGATCAGTGGTAGAACTTTTCAACCGAGCCCGGACCAGTCAGACCCACACAGAGGAATGTGCACGGGAGCCCCATTGCAGGAACCTCCTTATGCCTCTTTGAGCTCAGCAAGCCACCCTGTACTACACCATCAGCGCTTATCTCGCCGTCGCTTTGGACGGGTCCGCGCGAAAGGAACCTGGGCGTCTCGGCGGCACTTGCGGGTGGGAAGCGCTGGTGAATCGTTCCCAGACTTTGTGAGACTCTAAATTATCCTAACTGTGAACTGGGCACCAGGCCAATCGTGCCGAGGAGGATAGATGCAACCTGTCGCATACCGACACGACATCCGAAAGGCTTTGGTTCTCTCAAACTCGCGCGGAGATTCTTGGGGGGTCACGAAGAGGTGTTCTCATCATTCGCATTGGCACTCGAGCAGCAGTCTAACGAGTTCCCGCCTGCGGCTCCTTCTGCCACCTCTCGTCGAATGCTGCGCCCACCTGGCGCAACGTCGGAGGCATGTCCCTGTGTCTGTCTTTCTTGCCCGACGCGGTCTCTCACCATGTTCCTCTCCATCCTCTATGCAAAGTTTTGGTTATGGCAGCATCTACTCCCCTTGCACACCTGCAACTCAGTCATAGGTTTGCACCTGTGTCTGTGCATACATGCACACATAGATACCTTTACAGTCTTCCGGCCAACTCCGAAACCCTAAACGACAAGCTTAAAACCCCGCCCCCCCCTGCTGGCCCAAGACTCGAAAAAGGAACCCTCAAGAGCCTCTGACTCTAAAGCCCCTGAACAGCCAGCCAGCCCACCAGCACGAAGGCATCGCCGTCCACCGTGGTCGATCTGACGATCGCACGGTTCTGGAATTCGGCCTCGGGGGACTTCGGGGCCAGGTTTGGGCACCACTACACTCGCGAAAAATGCCAAAAGGCTTGGGTTCTGAGGACTGCATTGGCTGCTACCACTGCTACCGCAAGCGCGAGGCCGCTGAAAATCCGAGCGGCGGATTGCGGGGAATAGGATGTAAAGAGAAGAACCAGCTGCCTGAAACTCCAAAACGGGCTCGCTCCGCCCTCTGCTTCCATGCTGCTTCTACCCGCATTCCCCGCAATGCGAGGCAAGGGAGCAGATGTGGCGGTGATGATGATGATGATGACGACGACGGCCACCCGGCACTCGACCCTTGATTCTGCTTCTCAGATCATTATCGGCCTGTCCCCGCCGGCCAGCTCCTTGTCTTGAATCACCCGCACGTCCGCGGGCTCACCGTAGGCGCCGAACTTGCCTCGCATGGAGAGCCAGGGCAGACAAAGAGCCAGAAAGACAGTTCCACAATCCCTCGAATACCTGTCCAAGATCTGATCGCACGGCTAGCAACGGCTGAGACGAATCATATGATCAAGCCATGTGCTGAGCCATGAAGACTCTCCAGCCTCCGACATGTTTTACACTGGCAACAATCAGAACGAGAAGCCTTTGCTGCTGAGCACAGCATCCAGGATCTGCTCCGTCGTCGCAGTTCCGTTCACACCAGGGATCACCTGCACTGAAAATTCGGAAGCCATAAGTACCACCAATATCAGATATGATATCACAGGTATCTTCAAGTCTTAGAGATGTCAATGGCTAGCTGCTGATAGCTGCATGCAAGACAATGTCAGGGCTGCACGGCATCCCGCGCAAACTCGAAATTTGCAGATGCTCGATTTGCGCCTGCAAGAAGGCATAAGCACCCCCACCTGGAAAACAGCAAGAAGCAGAAGACACCGGCTGCTATCGAAGTTGTGTCAAAGTATGTCCAAGTTGCTCTTGCTTCTCACTTCAAGCCCTTTCGACGAGGACGTGCGATCCTCAGCTCGGCTCACCCCCGCCCGCTAGGCACCAGCATTTTCCCATCATCTGCTATAGGGGCAGGTCAGGCACTGGGAGGGCAGCTCACCGGATTCGCATCGCGGTTTTGGACGAGGCTCTGAGGTCACCGGCCAAGGTGTGCGGAAACTCACCTGGAGCCCATGGAGCGCCCCGGGAACGTCTCTTCGGGTCGTGGCGGTGGCAGGGCTCAGCGCACGGCAGTCACACGCGTCTCGGAAGAGGAGAGGACCTGCTCCAGCGTGGCAAGGAAAACTGTCGGATGCCGTGGTGGGGTCAAGCCTCTGCTGCGACCAAGTGGGCACCGTCTGCATCCTGCGCACCTGAACAGGAACAGGTGAAGCAACTCTTCAAATTGGGGGCTCTCGCGGCGATGTGCCAGCGCCTTCCATGACTCCCAGGTCGCTCATGCGAACGCCGGTCTCGGGCCTGCTGAGGAGCGTTGGAGCACGGCACTTGGCTGCAGCCCACATGTGCCTGGGCCGGGATCGGCGGGCGAGGCTCCGTAGTCCAACGTTCACCTGCGCGGGCAGCTCTCAAGCGCGAGCCGACAGAACCAGAATCTTTCTTCAATTTAAAAACAGATTCCGCGAGCTGCGCGAGGCGGCGCGAGGCGGCGCGAGCTGGCCTGGGCCTGGGCCTCTGCGGGCAGCGAAGCGGCCAGGCAGCCGAGCCACGGTCGCCTCCCGAGACAAGCGAGGCGGGGCTGGACGAAAGAAGGCGCTTGGCATGGGGTGACACCTAAAAATGGGCGGCGTGCTCGCCGGCAGCCAAAGGGAAGACCCCCAGGCAGCCTTGGCCCCATGGAGAGAATCGTGCCAGAGCCCAGAGCGCCGCATGTTCCATCTTTGACTTTTCAGGGCCCGTGGCGAGGACGGCCCAAAGCGTCCGGCAGACGATCTTCTGCCTTCGAGTGGGGACCATACGCAAGGTCGTCTCTCTCGGCCTAGCATCCACAGCCGGTATGTTCTTCTTGCAGCAGTGCATATCATCCTCGTCGCAATTGCATGTGGCGGCAACAGTGGCATGCTAATCAACCAGAACAAGGGCGACGGCAGCAGCATGACTCGCTGACAAGCATCACTTGGCTCGATGACATCACATAGGTGAAAGGAGAAGTCACGACATCACGAAACAAGCATGCCGGAACAAGCAGCATGATTACAGTATTTTGTACCACAACGTTCCATTTCAGACCTCCATCTGGAGCACAGAGATCGGGCCATGGCTCACATTCGATAAACAGCCTATTGACACACGTTCGGGAAACACCAAAGGAATCTACATTTGGCTACCTTCGCCGAGACCGTCACCAGCGCTTGTCATGTAACTGCTGTCCAGCCACAACGCGCAGGGACTAAGGCAGCTAAGGTCTTACTGACCTAGCGTTCGGACAGACACCCATATCACCATGTCCCGCCCTGACTAGGTTTGAACTTCAAGCTGATGAGCAAGGAAAGCTTGTCTTGGTGGCCCAAAGTGCAACATGTGAGCCGTACATGTCGAAGAGACTGCCTGGGCAAGGCTGCAGTGAGGCTTCGATCGAAGCCGATGCGAACCGACATACCTGGTCAGGATCTGTGTTCGATAGCTCAACGCCAATGAAGTTTTGCAGCAAGTGTCCTAAGTCCTAGTCCTATAGGCCATTGTTGATGTTGTTAAGGCGAACCAGAAAAAGGCAGGCTAGAAGCAGTCCTTGCCTTCTGGCTATACAGACGTGCTCCACTCGTCGTCCGGCAATGGTCCAGCTTCACGGCCTTCATGGACACATCGGCTGGAAACCCGTCCCTCCGAAGTGTCGTTCACGCTGAAGGGCTGCTATGCCACACAAGCTGTGCGATGCAAAATCCACGCCAGATTTTTTTTTGCCACATCAAACTAGCCGGCGGCTGACCTCGAGCAGGTTCTAACGAGGGGGCAAGCCGTTCTTGTCACTCTAAAAGTGGCCTTCGCGCAGGGAACGGTCCCATGGCCTGCGCTGCTCAGAGCTGCAAGCGCGTTGCACTGCTCTGCGGAATTGTCTTCGGTGTGCCTTCTGGTCGAAGGCCTCGAAAGGGCCTCGTTCTTGCAGGAAGTTTCCGCAGCGCGCGAAGGTCAAGTCGCCCTCCGCCGAGCCGTTGACACCTGGGCCGAGTGCACCAAGCGCTGCCTAAGCCGCCTTGCCTCCCCCTCTGGTCTGGGGCCGAAACAGAGGCTGGCAAACTTCAAGTGGCCCTGTCGAAATGTCCACTCCTCGGGAACCCCAACCATCCTATCCTATGCAACACATGGCGGCCCAGAGCTGTCCTGCATGGGTGAGCTTTGTATACAGCGATAAAGCCTCGAGTCGGCTCCAGAAGTACAGAATTCCCACACTCGGAAGTTTAGTGCGGCGAGTTCACAGCACCTTTGCACCGACCTTCTGCGTCTCCGCCGCATCGGCATCCAAGCACCTCAAATGCGACTGGCTGGGATCTGCAGCAATTATGAACATGATGCCACAAACTCGGCCGCTGTGCGTCTCCGTGTCGACATGCTGAAGGCTGCGCCCTGTCGGGTCGAGAGCGTGCAATAACTGCGCGAAAACTGTCGGATCGGGGACTTCCTTCGGGACTCCATGGATTTGCCCGGGGCACAGCCGCTCTGCTGAAAGGATCGGGGACTTGCTGCTCTGCATTTGCAGGCTCTGACGGCTCTGAGGACGCTGCCCTTGTTCGCGTAGGTCCATCGAAGACGCCTGTCCTGGCAATGCAACTACCAGAGCCTCGTGAATCCTGGTCGCGATCTGCATGTGTAGACACACGCGAGGTCCTCCGTGTGGCAGGGCCCTTCAAGCAACCGATGGGTCCGCCGCTCCGGTAGAATGCAGAGGCCCGTGCCCTTGGACTCCCAGATCAAGCTTTCAGGACTCAGGATTCAGATGCAGGCAAAGCTTGGCATCGACGCATGCCAAAGACGTTGACTCCGGTCAGAAGTTGAAGCCTGAAACAAAACCCCGTACCTTCCCGCAAAACCTTTAGGCGAATTAGCACATGCTGATTCGGAAGCGAGAACCAATAAAACCTAGAAAGGAACCCGGACGAGCGCTCCTTCTCAGTTCGACGGCCCACCCAGAGGATCAGATGCATTTAAACCATTCAAGATCGCGTGCCCGTTTGATGCGAAGCTCCGCGATGCCTCTGCCGCACACTTCCAAAAGCGCTCGGAAGCCTCCGTCATCGTCCGACCGCGACTGCCCAGATTCCGATGAAGTTCGCTTAGTGCCCGGTGGGAGAAGTGGACTGCGAGAGAGAATCTTTGCACCGTTCCGCAATCGACTTCACGCACGTCCGGACCCCATTCATTGCCATTTGCGATAACGTTCACATACAGGAGAGGCTGGGGCACCACACTCCTGAGCACCAGCATTGCAATCATGTCGGAAAACAGTTTCTTTCCTTGGGCCAAGATCGCGTGTTCCTCGCCCTGCTCCACAGCAACGGATACGAGAGCATGTGTCATGCGATACCACTCCTCCTGTGTGCCCGACAGCAAAGCGGGAACATGGTTCTGGTAAATGGTAAAGCTACCGTTGTTGGGCAAGTCTGTGTCTGGCGTTAGCCAGGTCGGGATCACGTCGTAGTCCGACATCCAACCACCTCCTGCTTCGGCCATAGCCAAGTAGCGCATGTAACAGTGGTAGTCGTATCTTGGGTTGTTGCCCAGAGGGACCTTTGTGAGCAAGTCTCTTTCTACCTGGCTAAAGTTTGCCGAAGCCTTCGCATCCTCTATAGTCAGAATCCGGGTCTCCCAACCAGCACGGCGCCAAGCCTCTTGCCAAGCACTGAGGGTGTTTGTTGCTTTGTCGGACGGATCGTCTTCGTTGGTGTAGTAGGTGTGCATTACCCTCAAAGGCCTTTTGTTGCCGGAAGTGCCCCAGAACTCCGAAATGCGGGAGGCAACGCAAGGTCCCGGAGATTGCGACACACTCGGCTCCAGGCAGCCAAAGCCCTGGCGGACTTTGCTGCAGAGACTCGGGCACGAGCGACCTTGCGGACCGCTGCAGTAGTCCCCAGAGCTGCTCTGTACGGCAAGCTGCGAGCCTTTTGGACAAGTGGGCACCTTGGGCCATGTTTGCTTGCAGCTTCGCCATCTCTCCCAGAGAGTCTGCGAAAGCTCTCGCCTCATCAGCCGCGTCATCGCAGCACCCACGTGCTCTGACACTGCGGAACTGGAAAGGCACAGATGGCGGGCTGTTGCGTTGGGGTTGCTGGACATGCCAACATCGACAACTGACTGCAGCATCGATGCGGACACCTCCCTCTCGCCACGCACGCCCACGAAGAGTGCCATGGAACGCACGGCGCTGGTCAAGTTGCTGTAAAGATCCTCGAAAAAGAAAATTTGAGCGCGAGTGTCGTCAATCTCACGCAGTCGCATGACAAACTCGTGTCGCATATTCACCCATCGCGACACGGGTTGTATGTGCCTCAAAACGAAGAGCTCCATGGATGGACAGTCTGGGTTGGTCTCAGCTCTTCGGAAAGCAGAAATCACGATGTCTCGGGGGTCTCTCAGGAAAACGAGGACCTGCGCGGGCTGCCCTGCATGTAGGAATTGCATGGCTTCTCCATGCATGTCTGTGGAATTGCGCAAGGGCGGCCAGACGTCTTTGCAGCTGCCGCTGCTGACATTGTCAATATGCATTGCATCCCTCCCGCATGTGACGTCTGAAGAGCAGTTAAGCTTGCTGAAGCAGCGGAGCTTTGCCAGCTGATTCAGCACCGTACAGGCCACTCCTAGATCACCCCCTGCGGCTGCGTCTTTCTCGGCGCCTGCTTCCGGCGGGAGGAGGAGCCGAAAGCTGGCGTTTCCCTCCCCAAACTGTGGGAAGAAACCCACTCTTCCTTGCCCTGGCAGTGGCTCTGCCAGCTTCGTCTTTGAAATCGACTGCGGAGCAACGCCTGTCGACTGCGGAGACTGACACGCCCACCAGCGATCGGCCGCCTTCATCATAAGCTTGCTCCGGTTCTTGTTTTTCAATTCTGCCCTTGCAATCGAAGCATCAGAGAAGTGCACGGCCAGGGTCATCTGTTGCATTACTTGACAATGTGTCAGCGGAAGATTCCGCCAAGTATCGGCCTCTGCAACCACGTTCATGAAGACAAAGTCTCGGTCCTTCTGAAACCTGAGCGCCTCCAAGGCCTGCCTTTCGGAGAAGGACGGACGATCCTTGTGCTGCAGCCTTTGTTGGAACATTTTCTTGGCCGCCTTCAACCATTCCGTCTTGGAGCCGGACATGAGGGCGGGGACCTCGTTCTGGTAGACAGTGAAGGTCCCGTTGTTTGCTGGCTCCATGTCCGCAGTGAGGTACGTGGGGATCATGTCGTACTCGGACATCCAGCCCCCTCCAGCCGAGGCCATAGCCAAGTAGCGGAAATAGCCTTGGAGCTCAGAGCTATAGCTCTCGGTTTTGGGCCCACTGAACTGTGCCCAGAGCGTCTGGTTCAACTCTTCGAAGTCCGGTGACCGTTGGGCATCGCTGAAGGTCAGCACGCGTGTGGTCCACCCCGCCCGTTCCCAAGCATAGCGCCAGGCGGACAGCATGGTGTCGACCTCGCGGACTTTCGATTTCTTGCCTGATGGCGGCAAGTAGGTGTGGATCACGCCCCGTGTTTCCGGGCTGTGTGCTACGTGCTGAAACCAATCGCCCGTGCTATCCACGCGACAAGGCCTCGGAATGGGGCCGGAGGACATCGAAGCACAGAAAGGTGGCTCATGTATTCGATGGCAAAGGTCCGGGCAGCCTTGGGCCTGTTTGCCACAGCTGTCGCCCAGAAGCCCTTCTCCGCGGTTGAGCTTCCTGCGGCAGGTTTTGGGCCAGAGCGGAGGGCACAAGACTTGCCATCGCTTCGCCAGATCCAAGGGCAGCTCCCTGGCCATCGCACGGGTCAAGGACGCCGCCAAAAAGTTCGGGAGCAAAGAGTTAGCAATGCAAATGGCACGTTTTCTTCCTCCTTCGGCCAAGGACAGAAGCTCCGGCTCTGCCAAGGACACACCCAGGAACTGCGCCAAAGCAGCCAGCAGTCGGCTCCTGCTGGCAGCACGGTGCAAGTCTTCGAAGTAGAAGATTTCTGCTCTCTCGGGCCTCTCCTGCTTCATGGAAGTGAAGATGCGATAGCCTAGCTCTGCCGATCTCGAAACAGGCCGGATGTTTTGCATTAGGAAAAGGTTCAAATTCTCGCAACCAGCGTGCGCAGGCAAGTCGCAAGCCGAAATCAGGACGTCTCGCGGATCCCGCAGAAAGAGTACGAAACGGGTGCCTGCGCTCGCACGAAGCATCGCTTCACTTGCCGGCGGCGAAAAAAACGATGCATCACTGGATGGAGAGTCGCTGCAATTCGCCGTAATTCTGCAGCCACCACCGCTTCCTCCACTGCCTGTCAAGCAGCTGCGGTTGGCCAGCTGCTGCAGAACCTGGCAAAAACCTGCCGGATCGCTCCCCTTGGATGCCTTTAGCACCACCGAGACGACGGAACTGGTCTCCGTCGTCTCCGCTGCCTCCGGTTCCCTTGCGGTCTCCTGCTCTTTGTCAGGCTGAAACTCTGGCGGCGGCCGTGCAGGTGCGTAGGCAGTGCGGGAAAAAATCACTCCGACTCTTCCGAAGGACCGCGGGTCGATCTTGCCAACTGCAAGAAGCAGCAGCGGGTAGCTTGCACCAAGCAGAATGACAATCAGCAGCGATCGGCGAAGGATCTTTCTGAAGCAATCCATGCAGCCACCCTGAGCTCATTGGAACTCTCCCAGCTGGACGGGGCCGCACCTGCTTACCCAATCCACAACTGCGAGTCGAGTTTCATTAATTGTAGTATCGGCTCTGAGCACAGAGTCGTTTCACATGGCTTGAGCAAATGCTGCGATAAATGCAGGACCATGCAATGGCAATGCGAGGTGGAGAACCGGGCATTGCCATTCTGACATCGATAGCACAAGATTCATCAAGATTCCACGAGTGCCTGGCAGTGTCACGGATCAGGAACATGTCCTTGGGTAGTGGGTGCATGACACAGCAAGTAGCAAGGGTCAGCAAGGAGGCATGCCGCATAAAGATGCATGAAGCCCAAGCTTCTTTGGGCAACATGTTCTTGCTCTCAAAGACATCCTGCACAAGCTGGCACAAGCGTCTGCCGATGCGTCTGCAATGGAAGACGGCTTGTCCCTGGCCCCGGCCTTGAACTTCGCGACATACCTAGAAAAGACTCGGCATGACTGGAAGCCGAAAGCTGCTCTGCTCCCAAGGTTCTGGCCAACTGAAGGGCTTGCAGTTCAGCTGGGTCTTCAACGCTTCTCGGTCTGAAATATCACCTGATGTGCTTGGGCAAGAGATCTATGGCTCTTCAACCGCTTGCTGCAGGGCTGCCCATGTTAGAAACGAATCGCTGCGCTGCGGGATCCGCAGCCTCAGGATGAAAATCGCACGAGCTTGCACAAGAGCCATGTGAAGTGCCTGCACATCCAACTGATTCTGTTCTGTGCATGTCTTTGCAATAGAAGGCATGCGGAGTATTGTCTGGGCGTCTCATCTGGGACTTGCTATCGAAGCGGCATAGAAGAATCGCTTGTAGTCGTCAAACCAGGTTTCCACTGTCCGCACCTTGTTGATGTAGACTTCCTGACAACCCATCAGACAAGGGCAGGAATAGAAGCTGAAATACGACCAGCCACTCTGGCCGGAACACGTGCATCTCAAGTGCGCTACCCGAAGTTGAGGGGAACCTCGAGCGAGGTAGTAGGAAGAGCGTAACTATTGTAGCTAGCCTGCTCCTCAGAAATGAATCGATATTCTTCCCACCCGCTGACATGAAATGCTCCAGTTGGTACCCACAATAAACTCAGGCTTGCCCATTCAGGTGCGGGTGTGTCAGCCGAAGGGTTGTCAGGTTCGAGATGAAGGCTTTACACCGGCAAGCCGGTGTAGCTGTTTCATTAACAGTAATCATTAACAGCTCTGAGTTCGTAGATCATCAAGCCTAACTCACTCATGTTACCCATGTTGATGTGCTTTCACGCCTTGGCAATGCCTGTGGCTCTGCTCTCGCGTCTCGGCTCAAATTACATGAGGATGGTATGATGTTTATGCTTGGTTGTGTTGGCCACCATGCCCTAGCCCCTTCTCAGATGGGCAGCTCGGTCAGTTCGCATGACAAAACGGTGGCATGCATGGCATAACACGGTACAGGCCGCCAGGCCTCGTCCCAGTAAGTGCAAGAAAGGCTCGGTGTTGTTCACCGCATACGGGAAGGATCTTCGGAAAACGTGGGCCTAAGGGCAAGGCAGAATGCATGAAACAGGTAAGCCTGGTTCACCAAAGAGGTCCACTTGACAAGTGCCGCGAACCGAACATTCGTACCCAGATCAGGCATGCAATTGTAAGACAACTTGTCAAGAGCCATTGGGAGATGGTGATTTTGCAGTGTCAACATGGGGCCTCTGACTAGCAACCACGACCTTGGGCATTCATCACCCCACCCATCCCCTCCAGCAGACCATGCTTCCTGCTTCAGAACGACCCATGGCTTCCAAGTTCTAGAAGTCCACACGACCTTCGAAGCATGTGCATTTCACTCGTTCCCACCCAGCGAGCATGCACGCTTATGATTACGTGGTATCGGTAGAAACAGGGGGTGCCTCTTTCACCAAACGCAAACCTGTCCCCACGATGAACGAGAACCGACTCCTTGCTGTCAAAATCAGAAGCAGCCACCCCTGCAACCTGCGAAATGCATCGAAATGCTGCAGAGCGTCAACACGGGAGTCTCGCGCCACGAAGATCTCACCCCCACAAAGCCAAATCCTGAGTGTTGTGACTGACTCCGATGCCGGTACAGCCTACTACTTAACCACGTGCTGCACGCATAATGGTGACATGCTTCCACGACCTTATGCGGAGGCCAAGTGGTGTTGCGTTGCATACGCCGTAGACTCGTAGAGTGGACGAAGTATCTGAGATGAATTATTCTGTCGTGTGGCTTGCCATGTGGGAAGTCCTTCTTGGTCATTCAGGAGCGGTGCTTCACACTCCGGTGTGAAAAACGAGGCCAGTCACACCGTCTTGAGTTAGTCTGAACGTATTGCCGGGATGCCGAATGGACTGCTCGATGTTCTCTGCGCCCCACATATTCATGCCATAGTCGTACCTTCTCAGTGGCTCGTAGTGAAAGGGGAACCGCTTGGATCATCAGGCACATCCACAGTGGCGACTGGCGGTGCAGCCATGACACTCGCCGGACTCGTGCCACCAACGCTTAGAGATGGCAAAAAGACCTCAGAGCAGAAGCAGATCCTGGGATCAGGGTCGTGACGTTGTCGCGCTTGTGCGCCCTGCCTCCGCTCATGCAGGGCACGATGTCGCTGCCATCTTCAAACCAGTTGAAGAAAAGTGTCCAATCGAACCTCGACTGTCGGAGCTTGCGTTAGATTGCCATCTTGCGGCACGCCACTACCACATGCGGCATCGGGACATCATCTTCACGCCAATGGCATTGTTGTTGACTTCCCAGGTGTCCGCATTCAGGATGGGTATCAACGGAACGACCACGCCTCGGATCTTCAGGGGTCACCATCGGCCTGAGCCGTCATTAAGATGGCAGCAACAGCCGGAACTAAGAGTTCTTTTGACAACGGTCGTCGAAGTCTTCATTTTTCATGGTCGTCGTCGGCAATAGTGGTGCTAGTAGTAGCTGATGATTCACCACTTGAAAGGACCGGATTCCAGAACTCCCACGGTTGGCCAGCAGACGCAGCACTAATAAAACGGCCAGGCTGCGCTTGTAATTTTGGCCGATGTGTCTCAGCAGCGGTATGTGCCAGCCTCTCCACAGACGGAAGAGTTCTCACATCCACGCAGCTTGCATCGGCTTGCAGTAGACTGGTCCATGCTCGGCACCAGCTTAAGCACCGCTTGGCCGAAGGCCCTTTGCGACCTCTGGTGGCTAATGACACCTGTTCCCTGCATAGCAATAACCGACCAGAGACACCAGAAAGAAATCCGCCGAAGTAAGCTCCATACCTATAGCGATGCCTGGAACAGGTCGGACGTGAGCATCTAAGAACATGATGACGTCCTGGCGTGACACCGTCTTGCGGCACAAGAGGGTGCATGTCGTTTTAGAGGCAGGGAGGGGAAGAGGCACAGAGATGATAAAACAAAACAAGGATATAAGGAATATAAGGAAGAAACTTCGAGACGGAAGGTTTCGAAGGTAGACCTGATGTTCACGGACCCCACGAAGCTCAATCGTCAAGCACGCGAAACCCCTCGATGCAACCCATGAACAGCATCCGAATCTGAAGAGAAGCACAGACGCACGGAGACCGACGAGGCAAAAGCCGACATCGTCCCCCGACCCCCCCAGGGATGATGAAACATCACATCACCAACAACGCTCGCAAGCTACATATGTTAATGACGGTGCTTTTTGGTGTCTCAAAGCTTGGCATCAGCAGTTCATCCATGGAGAGGACACGAAGAGGATGACTAGCGAGCTTCAGCGAGAAACTGTCATGGGTGATTCTCGAGAACCCGAACCCAAGCCAAAAAGGACTTTTCTTGCGCAGGCGTCAAGCAGGAAAAGTCGTGCATCGCATGTGTGCTTCCCATCAACTACAACTGAATTTCCCTAAAAGTCCCACTCGGGGAAATGAGTCGCTACGCCGCTACGCCCTTCCAACATCCGTACCGCCATGATCTTGCGATGCCACCATTCATCCCGTGAGAAGTGCCACGTGGTTTATGTGCTTGTACGTCTGATCGAATTGCCCGAGGCCCGGACCCCTGTCGCCCGATTCCCGCCCTCTGTCTTGGACTTGATTAAGCCACGGCGGCTTTCATGCCGCAGCCTTTGGTCTGCAAGAGTCGCCATGCTCGCACTGAAGGCTACAAGCAACCGTGCAATTTAAGTTTGAGACCACCTTGGCTTCCGTTTTCCCAATCAAAAACCGCAACTCTGACAACTATTGCTTTCAATGCAAGACATCCGAAAATAAGCCGCGTATTTTGACCCAGGGACAGCTTCACAAGGCTATAAGAAGTCACCAGGGGAGCCAGTGGTGGAGAGCTGCCGTCGTCCACCTCCGATGGCAACAGCAGAGGAGCAATGAAGAGCTCAACAACGCAGAATGCCGAAGGGCAAGGATGATCTCCACCAGCGCATCCAGCGGAGTGCTGTCGATAATGGAGTCGAGCCTTATAAGCTCCAATAGCTGCAGTTTGGAAAGGATCACGCATCACGCTCCAATGCTAAGTGCCCGGCGTTCGCTTCAAGTACCTCGGCAAAACTCTGGCTGCATCTCACATCAGAGTAGCCTCAAGAACAAACAAGTCGTCCACCGTGGTTTTTCGAGGACAGATGCATACCATCATAATGCTGATATTTGTGACAATCCAGTGGAAGATGGTTATCCCGATGCTTTTTTGCTCGTTCTTAAAATGTGTAGTTCAGTGCCTCGCACTGCATACTATGGTTATTGCTGTTGGCCCCAGGCCACTAATCCTGCTTCCTAGGCTGTGTTGGGACGCGAACCATATGAAGGACGTGAATAGTAGCACTGCTTCACCACAACAGCAACAAGAAGAACACTGACAACAATCGGCACTACAAGTAACACCAGCAATAACAAAACCAAGAAAGCAGAACGTCAACCGCTTCCGAGCGGCAACAGCAACAGAACAACGGCAGAAGAGAACAACGACAACAGCAGCTGCAGTAGCAACAACAACAACAACCACAACCACAGCAACAACCACAACCACCACCACAACAACAACCAC